TCGGATGCGCCAAAATCTGCGAGAACTCCAATAAAGCATTAGCCAGCGGAGCAAGACCTCGGGCTTCTGGCAGGCCCAGCACATCTCCTCTGCGCAGAACAGGCGACCACGCGCAGGCATGGCGCGACTGGGCTACGAAGGCGAATGGCAAGTAATTGGTGGGGCCCATCGCTGGTCGATGTGCCAGGCGATATGGGCACCTGCCCAGGTTCGCAAACGCGAAGACTGGCCTGGTCGGCCATTTGGCATTCTTGGCAGCGAAGCGCCCGGGCTGGCGGGGCCCTGGGCCGCGGCGCCATGCGCTGGGACCCCCCATTCGCCGCCAGCTGACCCAAGCTCGCCGCCGCCATCTCCCCGGCGCGTCCGGGGCGCTCCCCGTCGCCCACCGACGGTGGCGGTCCAAGCCTTATGGTTTTCGCCCCCGTCGTTGGCGCCCCTCGCCGACGAGCAGTTCGGGGGGCCCGGGGAAATCTCGCCCACGCGGCAGAGCAGCGCGGGCAGCCCATGTCGAACATCACTGCCATAATCTCAGCGCTGCCCCAGATGACGGAGTCGAAGCAGCGGGGGGGGGGGGGGCACTTTCGCTGGAATTTGCTCGACGCCCGCATCGCCCGGGGCGCGGGCCAAGCGCGGGCTCCCCCACTGCAGAAGAGAGGGAGGCAGCTCAGCCGCAACCCATCCTCCGCCGCCAGGTGGGCGGCAACGTCGCGGGACTTGTTTTCTAGCAAGCGTTAGAAACGGAGTCGGCCAGAGCGGCGGGTCGCCGCGCGCGCCCCGCCGCCCCGCTGCCAGAAGCGACCGACTACCATGGCGAAGTGGCCGTCGCCGCCTGGGGGCGCTACCCCCTCTGAATCGTTCTGCGCGGTTTTCCGCGTCAATGCCGGGCCCGACTGTTCGCGGCGCACGAGCGTGCGAGCGCGAGAACAGGGCAAGCCCGCCCGCGGCATGGCGGCGCGCTGCTCGCGGAACATCTACTATGCGCATGTCTACGCGTATCAGCCTTCGACAAATTGGCAGGTCGAGCATCCTAGGCCCCCTCTCCCTCTGCACAGATGACCTTCCGCATCGGATTTACTGATGATGACTCGGACGCGGTGGCATGCGCAACGCAGGAAGGCGCCGTCTCTTTGGTCGAGATGGCAGAAAATGAGTCGAGCCGTTCGGTTCCTCCGCGCAAGTCGCCCACCTCAGCCAACCCCGACAGACTTCGCAAGCGGCTTGCAATGGCGCTCGCCCCTGTCGGTTGGCGCGCGGCCCCAGCCGCGAAGAGATGCGGCGCCGGCCCGGCCGCGGGCAGCTTCTGGCGCCCCAGATCTAGCCGCCTGGCGCCGCGCCAGCGCGCTGGCAACTTATGTCGCGCAGGCGGCGGTTTGCTGCTCCGCGACGGGCGGCGCAGACGCGCGTGAGCTCCTTGCCACGGGCGCGAACTCGCGCGTCACCAATAATGTAAGAGTCAACGGGGACGGTGCGGCAGAATGGTGCCAGTTGCAATCTCTCTCCACGGTCATCGCCGCCCCCCGAGGCGACGGCCGCTCGCGATCAGTTTCGCTGGCCCCGCTGGAAGACCCGACGCGGCGCCAAGGGCTGGCCGCGGCGCTGCTGCGCGTCGCGTGCCAGCGCTGCTGGGTCTGCGCACAGCCGCCCCCCCGCGCCTCGCCCCCTCTCTTTCGTGACCCGAATTTACGCCAATCCCCGCAAAGTCGGGAAGTGCGCGCGGCCCGCTCGCAGCTGCACCCTCTCCCCCTGGCGGATCGGGAGGGAGATGCACTCGGCGCTTGTCCACGGGGGCCCGGCAGGCGAGCCGCGGCCCGTCGCTGACTTCCCCCCCGATGTCTGTGAGAGCAAAATCAAGGTCTCGCGGCAAGGCGCCCACTTGCGCGCCATTGACCAGTCAGTGAATCTCGAGGCAGGCGCCAGAATTGATTTGTCGGTCGCCCGACAGGTCCTCTCGCAGCAAGAGGCGGGCAGGTTGCTGTCATTTCCGTGCCGTTCCGTTTGGGCTGGGCGTCGCAGGCGTCCGCGCGCGGCTTCATGCTTCGCCAGCGCGGGGCCCAAATATTCAAGCCTGCGGCGCCCAGGCCCACGCGGCCCTGGAGGCCCCGGACCCGCGGCCCCGAGAAGCGCATCTTGCGGGTGGCAACGGCCCTGCGGACAAGCGCGCGATGCTCGGCGCCGCGGCCCTCTCGCAGCCAGCCGGAATGAAAAGGCAGGCTTGCGCATGTAACGCGGCCGCCCTGCTAACGCGCATCGCCCGGCCAAATCCTTGCCCCCGCGCCCGCGCCTGGCCCCCGCGAAGAAAGGCCTGTCAAGATTTAGCGAATCGCTGCGCGAAGTCGGGTTTCAAGCCCGCGCGCGAGCAGCAACGCGCGCATCGCCGCACAAGCCCCCCCCCCCCCCCCTTCGCACCCCCCCGCCTCCGCGGACCGCGGGCGAAGGCGCGGCCCCGAGCGCCGCAAGCTCCGGCCGAGCACGCGCCTGGCGTCTCGGGGCAGCAACGCGCGTGGAGGCGGGGGCGCAAAGGTTACTGGGCCCGCTTCCACTGCCAGCAGCGCAGCACCAAACGCAGGGTGGAGCCCGCGCGCCGTCTCCAATCCTTCCCCCTACCGCCCCCCCACCCCCCGCGGGCGCTCGACGGGCGCGCCGGTGCCCTCGCCCATCCTCCGTTCCTTTTTCCATGACCAGCGCGGGCACAATCTCTTCTTAACGGACCCCCCACAATAAATTATTCATTGGCCGCGCGTATGGAAATTACTCGGAAGGTAGAGCCGATGTACACCTGGGCGAAAAGCGCCGCCCTCCTACATATTCCCACTTGGAAAAGGGCTCGCAAGGGGCAATTCCCGAACTGCCGACGCGGGCGCGGGTGATTGGATTCCCATCAACACGCTGCTCGCACTCAGCAGGGGATGGGTTCTTCCTCGGGCCAGCAGCCCCCCCTACTCCGCCTCCGCCTCCTCCGCCTCCTCCGCCGCAGCCCCCCCGCGCGCCCCCGATCGCCGGCGGGGTTAGGAAAGGGTGGCCGCTGCACTTCGGTTCTGCGCGTATGTGACAAATTCTGGCGTAGGGTCTCACATATTCAGCTTCAGTCGCTCGCTCCCTTTCCTCGATCATCCTCTGGCCTTTTGCCGCGGGCTGCCGCCAACGTAGCACTCTCTTCTCAATCCCTTTGCTCCGACCTCGCGCCACTCCCAACCCCACATCTCCGGAGGTCTGCCCTTTGCCGCGATCCTGCGGGCATTTTGTTTGAAAGGCGATACTTTGTGCAGACCCTCGTTTGAAAGGCGATAACATGTTCCGCTCTTGACAAGTTTACCTCGGCTTGCGCCGCATGTGCGTGATTTCCGGAGGTTTCCAATCATGGTACTACTTATTTGTGGAAAAAAAAGGCCACAGTACCTGGCGCCTTCCAGGGGCCACGTCGGGCCGCCCCACGTGTTTTTTATTGTCAATGTGTGAAACTTTCGACAGAAACCTCATGACTCACAATCAGAGACCGGAAGGTGCATGGCCGAATTTTTCCGTCGCAATGCGGCAGAAACGATCCGCGCGCGCGTCGGGCCGAAACCGGGACACGGCATCGCGAATTAGGCCGCACGCAAGCGGGGGGAGAAAAAAAGGGCGGCAGCAAGGAAGGGAACAGAGCGCGGAGGCACTCACACGCAGCAAAGGTACGGCGGGTGCGCGGGCGCGGACTGGCTGAAGGGTGCCCCCGGCAGCAGCTGCGGGACGGCGTCGCAGTACACCCAGAAGACGGGCCGGCAGCCACCCTTCGGAAAGGGCCCAGCAAGCCGAGGAGAGGGAGCAGCCATCGGGCGGAGGACCAGGGCGCCAGCTGGGGGGAGGCAGCGGCGCGGGAGCCCGCGGCGACCAACTGATATGCGCCAGCGCTGCGGCAGCTGTGCCCAGGCGGCGGGCGGCGGAGCAGGCCGACGGCAAAGCAAGAGTGCGGCGGGCCGATTCAGCGCAGGGCACGGGGGGGTGCGGAGGCGCCGGAGATGGAAAAACGCCTCCACGTAGCCGGTGCACGGCATCGCGGCAAGGAGTTAGGCGCCGCCCAGAGCAAGTGGCGGACGGGCGGGGCCCCCTCAAGGAATTGGGAGGCCGCGGGGGGTAGGAAAGAAAAAAACGAACGAGGGAACGAAGGATGGGGAGGGGGAGGTAGTGCCTGCGGTTCGACGCTCCTCTCTGCGTCTACGCCGGCGTCCAGGCCAGAGCGAGCCCAACGCACAAATTATGGCGGTGTTTGCCCCCCAAAGAATGGGGATGTGGAGGGCGGGTGGGCTGGAGGGTGGCATGGGATGGAGGGGCGGCTGGGGTTGCCGCATTGTCGCTCTGTCTGTCCCCACCCCCAACAGGCATTGCTCTGTGCAGGGCACCACTCTCGCGCAGTTCCTAGCGCGGGTTGCTAGCCAGGGCTTGCCACTGTCAGCAACCAACATGAAAAGGCTGAGACTTGGGTTCCCCAGGTGACGAGTGACCCCCCTTGACAATCCCTCCTCGGCCCAGGGGATGTTCAAAGGCGGCCCGCTTACAATCCTGGAAGTTTGGTCAGTGATCCCCCCCTCCCCATCCCCCTCCCCCTCTTCCCTTTCCTCCTATTATATTGTTTCATATGTTTCTTTCTCCTCCTCTTCCTCCTCCTCCGCCTCCTCCTCCCGTTTCTTTCCCTCCTTCCCCCCCTCATTCCCCCTCCCCATCCTTCTCCTCCTCCTCCCCCTCCCCCTCCCCCTCCTCCCCCTCCTCCTCCTCCTCCTCCTCCTCCTCCTCCTCCTCCTCCTCCTCCTCCTCCTCCTCCCTTCCTCCTCCTCACCCTGCACAAGCATAGACTTTCGGAGATGCGCGCTAAGCTCTTGCATCGGCCGCAGGCGCCGCTTCCCTAGCGCGCGGAGCGCGCCAAGGGCAGCGCTCGAAGCACCGCCAAAGGGGGTCCAGCGCCGATCCGAGAAAAATGCGCGGACCTTCCAGAGTTTATGATTATGCATGTTGTTGTGTCTTTCGACCTGTGGCGTGCGCGATCTCGACCAGGACGCCCAGCCCGCCGCGCCTGTGAACAGAAAAGCGCTTATTCAGATGACGCCATCGGGGGCGCCTGTCACATGGCGGAGATCATACCCTCACGTGCCGCCGAAAGGGTACAACTCCACAGCCGCCCCGGGGCACGATGGCGGAAACAGCTGTTTTGCACCGTCGTTCACGCGCTACGTAACTCATGCAGAAACGCCATGCCTGGCCAGGGGGCAATCCTGGGCCTGGCGCGCCTGGCCGGCCATCGCTCGGCCGTCCACTCCCTGTGTTCTTTGTCGGTCTCGTGCGTGTGTTTTTTTTCGCGGGATGGTCCCCAGGATGCTCCCTTGAGAGAACCCCCGCCGAGGAGAAGTGCACACGTCCGAGCGACACCACGACTGGCACGGTGCAGGCGCCCACCCGGCCGAGGCCCTGCCCCCGGCGCCAGCCGCGGCGGGTACGCAGATGCTTGTGAAGGGGCCCTGGGACACACAAATAAATACACACAAATAAAAGGATTCCCCGCATTTTCCAATATTTTCTGCTTTTTTGTCTTCCACACCACTTCCCATATTTTCCTATATTTTCCTGGGAGTCGACGATTAATTGTGTCTGTGTGTTTTTTCCCCTCCTGAGCTTGGGAGGCCCCCCGCGGGCCTGCTCCCGGCACCGCCCGAGTCGCTGCGCAGCTCCCGGCGGCGGACCAGCCACGGGCCAGAGGCCTCGGTGACCTCTCTCGGCGGCGAGCGGAGGGGGGGAAGGGAGGCGGGGAAGGCCTTCTCTAGGGGGAAAACAAACCTACCTCGCTTTTGACCACCCTCGCTTCCAAGAGATACCAAACGATGCCAAATTGAAGCCTGTACTGGTCAGGCCGCTTGACGAGGAGGCGCGTGGTATGACTTGGTTTTGTCTGGAAGCGAAAGCGGGGGAGGTAATTCTGGCTCTGATTCTCGGAAGGCGGCGGGACTTCTCGGAAGCCCTCGCGCCTCCCGAGGAGCTCTTCCTGTCTTCGGGGGAGGCTCAGGAAGGCCGGGGGACTTCGACGACGGAGGAGGAGGAGGAGGCGAGGAGGAGGAGGAGGAGGAGGAGGAGGAGGAGGAGGAGGAGGCGAGGAGGAGGAGGACAACGGCGAGGAGGAGGAGGGGAAGGACGACGACGTCGAGGAGAGGGCCTGCCGCTCCTCGCTTCTCCCCCTCGCTCGCCGCCGGCTCTCGACACGCCCAGAGTGGGTGCGGGCAGACGGACAGGATGCCCAACAGCAGACGCTGCGAAAAACAGTCGGCGGCCGCCGCGTGGCCGTCGGCGGCTTGCCTCGAGTGGACAACGCCGCATGCAGAGCGGGCAGGAGCTGCTGTTGGTCTTCGTCCACGCTCTTGCCGAAGGGGCGCCCGAGACGGGAGCGTCCAAGAACAGGATACGCCAAGCATTGCCCGAACCACGTGCGCGGACGAGGGAGGGGGGGCCAAGGGGTTCAGCGAGAGAAGAGGAGGGGCCATAACTCGGGGGCGCGCAAGCATGGATTAGCTATCCGTGGATTTGGCGCGCGGTCGCCAAATCCATGGATCGCGTGAGGTGCTCTCCTCAAAATGCGGCCGGTGCCGCCTCACTCGGCGGCAAAACTCAGCGATCCCCCAAGGGAACGGGACCCGTCGCTAATCAACGCCCCCTGAATCCATGTTTGCAATCGCCTGAATCGGGGATGGACAGACCTCCCTTTAGTAAAACGTGGTTTAGTGAAAACGACCTGAGGCCCAAACCTGGCGGGCGCAAGCCTGGAAAATAATGCCGCGGCGCCCTCTCGAGAACCGAACACGGACAATACGCTCATCGACGTGTCACTGTTGGGGGTTCTGTCCGCCCCCGACTGAAAGAAGAGGGGCCATAACATCCGGACAGATGGCATGGCCCAGGCCAGGATCTCCCCCTCTCCTCGATTCTCACCAACGGCTTCGGGTCATGCCTCGGGCCTCCGGCGGCCGCTCGGGACGCTCCCCGCAGCCCCAGGAAGCCGGAGAGTCCTCGGCGAGGCGCAGCTGCCGGAGAGCACCACGAGGCGAGAAGGGCTTCAAGAGCCAGCCCAAACGATCTCCCTCCCCACCCCCTCGACCACGAAAACGGCCGCCCCGACGTACTCGGCGGCGTCCAAGCGGGGGGTCCAAGAAGGGGGGGGGGGGTGCTCGCCATCATGGCCAGGGGGGCGTATTGAAATGAGAAGCGCAGGGAGATATCGTCCTCCTTCCTCCTCCTCCTCCTCCTCCTCCTCCTCCTCCGCCTCCTCCTCCTCCTCCTCCTCCTCCTCCTCGTCCTCCTCCTCCCTCCTCCCTCCTCCTCCTCCTCCTCCTCCCCCTCCTCCCTCCTCCCTCCTCCTCCTCCTCCTCCTCCTCCTCCTCCTCCTCCTCCTCCTCCTCCTCCTCCTCCTCCTCCTCCCTCGCGCTCCCATGACCCCGAGCTTCGAGCTTCGATCGCACCCGAACCTCGACTGGCACGCAGCGCAGGCCGCTGGGGTACAGCCCTGCGCTCGGGCCGTCTGCGCAGGGGCCGGCGCCGATGCCGCCGCCCTCCAAGTGCACCGCCGGGGCGGCGCCCCGCCCGGCGGCGCCCGGCTGCACGTCCTCGCAGGAGATTAACAAGCAGCATAGCCTCCTCCCCCCTCCTCCTGCTCCTCCTCCTCCTTCTCTCCTTCTCCCTCTCCCTCCTTCTCCTCTCCTCCTCCTCCTCCTCCTCCTCCTCTCCTCCTCCTCCTCCTCCTTCCCCCCCTCCTCCTGCTCCTCCTCCTCCTCCTCTCCTTCCCCTCTCTCTCCTCCTCCTCCTCCCTCCTCCTCCTCCTCCTCCTCCTCCTCCTCCTCCTCCTCCTCCTCCTCCTCCTTCTTCCACCCTCCTCCTCCACCCTCCTTCTCCTCCTCCTCCACCTTTTCCATCTCCCCCTGCTCATCCTTCTCCTCCTCCCCCTTCTCCCTTCCTCCCTCCCTCCCTGATCCCTAATCCCTGATCCCTGATTGCTGATCCCTGATCGTTGATCCTGATCCCTGATCCCTCCTCCCTCCTCCCCTCCTCCCTCCTCCCTTATCCCTTATCCCCTTCCTCCTCCCTCCTCTCCTCCCTCCTCCCTCCCCCTCCTCCCCCCTCCTCCCTCCTCCTCCTCCTCCTCCTCCCTCCTCCTCCTCCTCCTCCTCCTCCTCCTCCTCCTCCTCTCCTCCTCCTCCTCCTCCCACCACCCTCCTCTTTCTCCTCCTCTTTCTCCTCCTCTTTCTTCCATTCTCCTCCTCCTTCCTCTCTCCCTCCTCCTCCTCCTCTTCCACCACCCCCTCTTTCTCCTCTCCTCCTCCTCCTCCTCCTCCTCCTCACCACCACCACCACCACCACCACCACCACCATCATCATCATCGTCATCATCATCATCATCATCATCATCATCATCATCATCATCATCATCATCAGCATCATCATCATCATCACCATCATCATCATCATCATCATCATCATCAGCATCAGCATCATCATCATCATCATCATCACCATCACCATCACCATCACCAGCATCAGCATCAGCATCAGCATCATCATCATCAGCAGCATCATCATCAGCATTACCATCATACTCACCATCATCATCAGCATCATCATCATCAACATCATCAGCATCATGATCATCAGCATCATCATCATCAACATCTTCATAATCATCATTTCACTTCGGCCATTGGGTCAGCATTGCATGGAGGGCCAGTACGGCAGCAAGTAGGAGTAGCAAGCAGGTGAAACATGGTCGCATCTGGAGTGGACGATGTGCCGCCAATTCCTCAGTTGACTCCGAAGGACAATCGGGTCGTTCTAAGCGGTCAGACATACCCAAACCATGTCTCCAGAAACGCTACTGCATTGTGCAATTCAACGCAATGCAACTCATTGCGCAAGGCAATGTGCAATCCCATGCACTGCCATGCGCTATGGAGCGCGCTATGCAATGCAACGCAAGGCTATGCGTTATGGCGTGCAGCATTATGATGATGTGATGTGGCATAACACGTCAGGTAACCGACTGCGATTCATGCCATACTGAACGAGAGCGGTGGCCCCCAGCCACAAAAAGGAGGGCGGCAGTAGAACGAGGAGACGCCATAATGCATGAGCGACAGGAGGCAAAGAAAGGGAACGAGCCAAGGAGGTGCGCAAGGCGCACTCCCCACCAATCCTTTGGCGAAGTCTCAAACTTCTCCTTCACTGCTACGCGCTGCCCGTTCCTCCCCCATCCTCTCTCACCGCCTCCCTCTCCCTTCTCCTCCTCCATCTCCCGATGCCCCTCCCTCTCCTCCGCCACCTCCTTTGCCCCCTCCCCCTCCGTTCTCCGACCCCCAACTCCTGATCCCCACTCCTTCCGTCATCCGTCTCTTCCGCCTTATTTACCTTTCCCGTGTACACCCCGTCTGCGTCGCGTTTTGCGGCCCAGCTGCCAGTGCCAAAGAGGGATGTGAGGACGTGGGGTGTCTGGGATGGGTCAGTTCTTCACTTCCCCCCTTCACCTCCCTTGAATTACCAGCCCATTTCCCCAACACCCTTATCGGATTACCCCAGACATGAGCATCTCGCCCTCTCCCCCTCCCCACCCCACGCCCAGTCCGCATGCGGACCCTCGTCCGCCCCCCGCGTGCACGGGGGTCCGACTACAGGGGCGCATTCGGAGCCCTTGTTGGGGGGGTCCCCTGAGAGCCCCAGGAAGCCTTTGATTGGGGGCAAGGCAATCCGCGAACAGACTTCAAGAGGGCCTCGGGAAGCTACCCAGTGGATGCTACAGGGGGCCCATTTTGTTGCAGCATTTGTCTGTTGCCCTCCTGGGGTCCATCTTGGGCGCTCTCTTGGAGCCGTATGCCCGTCGCCGCCATTGCCCTCACTCCCTTTCTCATCCCCCATCGAGCCTGTCGCCCCATCCGTCCCCCCGCCCCGTTCCCACCCCCACTCTTACACGACGCTGGGAGGAGAGTGGTAAGGAGGAGGAGCAGGAGGAAGAAACGCCGACAACTCGGCCTCCCGAGTTCGGCCTGAACACATCATCCCGCCGACAGGCAGGTCAACCCACTATCCACCCTAGAGGTGCTTGCATCCCGTTTCGCGCTGTGAGGGCGGTGCGGATGATGGTGGTGGTGGTGGTGGTTGTGGTTATGATAGTGATGATGGTGTTGATGGCAACGGGGGCGAAGGATATTAAGGGAGAAACTGATGTGAACTATAACACAAACCCTGTGTGTAATGAAAATGCTATTCACCCGTGCCCAGCGAACCATCGGGATGCACCTCTCAACACGCACTGGCGGCCAGTGCGCATGCGAGATCACGCGATCATACCCACTTGCTTCGGTCGGCGGCTTGACGCATAGCCAGGCAACGGCAACACCCCCAGAAGACCGCCCTGGATGCCTGGGGGCGGAGACCCCCGCTTGGCCCTATGACCTACACATCGATTTACGTCACGCCGTCGACGGAAACCAGTGATATGACTAAACCTGGGGGGCACTCTGCCCCAACTCCCTAAATTGCAAAATGCATTCTAACGAGCCCGCTTCGTGCCGCTGAGACGCGCGAGCCTGGGCCCCTTGGCAGCTGGCGCCTGGGACAGGCCCGTCGCCTCCCCCTCCAGGGGAGAGGCTGCAGTGGACGCCGAGGCGGGGCTCTGAGACAATGCCGACATCGTCCCCGCCGAAGTCGAAATTGCCGACGAACTCCCGCTCCTCCGAAGGCTGCCTGTGGCTGGCGACGCTGGTGTGCCGACCGCCCCCTCTCGCTTGACCACGGCGTGCCCGTCGCTGAAGACCATTGCAGAACCGTCCACGATGCATTTCAGCTCGCTCCAAAAGGCGTCGGGCAACTGCACTTTCTTCTTCTCTTGATGCTCCTTGATGAAGCTGGACGCTTTCGTCGACGCACTTGGGCCCTGTGACTGGAACCTCAGCAAGTTGACGCCCTGGATGAGCACCGTCGCATGGTAGAACTTCGCCAGGAGCGTCGATGCCACAACGCATCCAGACGACGTAGTTGGATGCTTGTCCACTGGCGGCGACAGCTCAATGCGTTTTGAAATCACCGAAACTTTGCCCAACACTTGGTATATGCGGTTGTAGCTGGCCACGGTGGGAGGCAACTTCTCGTCCAGCAGGTCGATCGCCATCTTCATGTTGAGCACTCCGTCCTTGAAGATCGACTCCCACTGTGGCATCGTCGACTGGCACTCGGAGACCACGGCGGACCGGTATGTCATGCGATGCGCCATGACAGCATCGCGGCACCTCCCAGCAAAAGAAGCCATCTGCAGGGCCCAACGGCCCAACGATTGCAAGGGGATTCGCAAGCTCCATCCATCTCTCTCAAGCGACCTCCCAGCGTCGGCGTTGACCAAGTCGCCGATCACCTTCGCACGAGAAAACATGAGCACCAGCGCATTGACCTGGATGTTGCAAGACGGATGGGGTCTGATGCTCTTCTCAAGCATCTCCTTGCACTCGGCGGTCGGGTCGATGAGGTAGTGCTGGAGCGCCGTGGCCAGCATGAACTGGCCCCTCACAGCGCACATGGCGTCAAACACATATGTCGCGATGTGCATTGGCACTGGCCAGTCCTCGCCCTTTCGGGGGTCCCGAGACAGCAACGAAACGCACTGGCCCCTGCTTGCCTTGCCCCGTCCCCTCTACCGTCTCCCTAGGCCAGTCGTTTAGAAAGTTACCACTGAGGGACTGTTAGTGCGTGCCCGTTGCCCTCGCCCCCTGACCTGGCGACCATCTGCCAACGCGGCGCCGCAGGTGCGCATCTCAGTCATGCCCGTCGCTTCGGCGAAGTCCTTCAATGCAGTCAGCGCCTTGTTGTGGGTGAAGCTTTCGAGCATTGTGTCAGAGTCGGCCGTCGTCTGCAGCGCCTCCACGACTTCGGAAGGCAAGGGGTCGTCGGCACCTGGCTTGCGAACGGGGCGCCCTAGGATCTGAGCATCGAGGGTTGACACCAACACGTCATCCTGGACCGCACCGATCTCGAGGTCGCTGAAAGCCAACATATTGACCACGCGGGGGGCAAGCCAGACGGCCGCTGCATGCTGGTAGGTAATGTCGCCGAAGTTGGCCTTGAAGATCATGAAAGCCTCGCTGATGGAGTGAAAGACGTTCGCGTCTTGCACGGTGCTTTCGCCATGGAACAGAATCGCATTGACGCCCTCTAGCTGGTGTTGCAGGCGGGACAGGTTGATCGTGTGCTCCTTGGTCTTTGGATTGGTGGTGGTTGCATCGAATAGCGCATCGGACCCCCCATCAACAAACACGGGTAAGAGCTCCACGACCGCGCCCATGTAGTCCATCATATCTTTGAGGTTCTGACGGTTGTCCTCGAGCGTTGCCAACAGCACCTTCGCACGCCCGATCTCGCCCAGCTTCTCGGCGAGCTCCACGTCACTGGTCCTCTTGGTCAAGGCCTCGGCGCACTTCGTCGTTCCGAGTACCATCGTCTGAAGCGCCTTGTAGAACTCCTCCGATTGGAGCCTGGTCGCGTGCAAGTCCCCCAGCGCAGCGATGACTTTCGACGCTGGTGACACTGCTGCAAAGCCAGCACCGCCCTGCTCGACGATGCTCTCTGAGACTTCTACAACCGCACCTTGGGTTTCTGGTTTCGCTGCTGCTGCGCCTCCGACTGCAACCGATTCGACGGGCACGCGCAGGAATTCATCGCGTCCCTCTCCGGCCTTGGTGGCGCCGATCTCGTCCAGGACCCGAGCCAGAGGGCGAGACACGGTCTTGTGAAACACCGAAACGAGACCGTATACACCATTGCTCAGCAGCTCCATGAAGTTCCCCATCGCGGCGCAGACGGGCTCAATATTATCCTTCAGCGCAGCGTGTGACCACCTCGATGCACAGGAGATGATGCTCGTCTGGATGTCGATAATGGGCTTGAGCCTCTTCCCCAAGATCGCGTAGGTCATGACGTCCGACTCGTCCTCTGGCTTAGGCTCGTTGATGAACAATTCCATGTCCGTGTATGCCTCCTGGAAGCTCTCCTCAAAACGATTGCAAGCCTTGTCGAAAATGGCAGTTGCAGCATCGTCCTCAACCCCTTTCGAAGCATGCCTCCTCGCTTGCTCCATGATGAAGATTGCGGGGGCGATGCCGACCATCGACTTTGCGATACTCTGGACAACGGCTCGCTGATCATCTGAAGACTTGGTTGAGGTAGCGTTCTGGTTGATGAACTTCCGAGCTGCTCGAACATCAGCCGTCGTCGGCTTGTCCTTCTCATCTGGGAGCAAGCACTGACACACGACTCTCACGCTGCAAAGGGCTGTCTCGACCTGAGTGGTGTCCATCGTCTTCTCCTCGGTCTCGAAGGTATTCACCCATGAACGCCAGATAGAGCTGGTCTCGTCTACAACTTGCATGCGAGTATCCATCGTCATCTCGCCCTTGGCTCCGATGCTCTGCCAGTAGTGCTCTAAGCTTTTCCAGACCATGATGCCCAGCTGCACGGCGACGGGAAGAGTGATGTCGACCGCGTCATCGATGGGCAGCAGCCGGCCCCGATGCCTCCTGCCTGGCGCGGCCCCTTCTGCTGCAGGTGCCTGCGGAGCGCTGTTTCGCACCTCAGTGAGCTTCGTCATGTACTCTTCTGACATCTCGAGCACTCTCCTCAGCGAGCCAAGGTTGATGTGCCCGATCGCCTGTCGTGGATGGCGACGCGGACTGCGGGTTGATGCGAAGCTGAGGGCACTGCCACTGCACTGACCCTGAATCCCTAACCCCCACAATTTGCACGGGGCCACGGCCACCCACACGAGAACTCACATCATCAAGTATACCAGCCTACCCCCACCCCCCAGACCCCTCAAAATCAGGTATTCCAGAAATCGTCAGCGTTGGCAGACCCCCAGCTTCGCGACCAACCCGCGATCCATTTGGCCATGCGACTGCCTTCGCCACGGATCCGCTTTCCATGTAGACGCTGAAGAAGATTGCCTTCAGGGTCACGAGCCCCACAGGCGGCGCGACCTCCAAGCCCCTGCACTTGAGGTACTTCAACTCGACCATTAGATGCGGCAGCGCCTCGACTAGCTTGTCATCGGTCTTGAATTGGGTCCACTGGTGGAACCACTTGTGGGTTGCCAAAAGCCCCTTGGCACGCTCCTCAAGCTGCTTGAAGCAGACCTGGACATCCAGCACAGCCTTCCCCATGATCTTCGATTCGTGAGTCATGGGCCGCCTGGTCAGAGCGCCGACAGTGGCCGCCTTGAAATCCTTGTGCCAGTCGACGCTGCAGAGCCCGTCGACGTAACCATTGACGGTATTCCTGATGCGCGCCAGGTGCTGGAACGCTGTGCCCCTGGGGAACTCCTCATCCAATGACAGAGGCGTCGGGTGGCCTTGCCACCTGGCGGGGTCCAGAGTTGTTGATGGGATCTCTCCGTCGCCATCGGACTCCCGTGCCGCGTACTCGCCCTCATCCTCATCGGCCATCTCCTCGCCGATGCCTGACGCCTCCCGTTGGGCCGAATCGCCGATGGCACGGGCCGTCGCCTTCGACGCCGACCTACTGACTAGGCGAGGGCCGATGTCGGAAGTCAGGTCGATCAGCGTGGTGGTCCACTGCGAGGCTGCTGGCACCGCAGGCTGCTCCGCAGCCTCAGCGTCCTCGATCTCCTCTTTGACGTTCTCTGCAGCCACCTCCTCGTCGGCGGTGTTCCCATGGGCGCTGCGCCCCTCCAACGCCATATCATGCTCGGGGCTGGCGAACCACCCAGACTCCCGCTCTGGGTCATCCTTCGGGCTCAAAGTGATCGGGCCGAGCCCCAGCAGCACGTCGTCGCTAGAGACGCTGCGGATATGCAACTCGTCTTTCACTGGAACCGACATTGCTGGTGGAGCGAGGCACTCGTCGCCTAGCTGAGCCCCAGCCCTGAAACGCCAGAACGGCCATGGTGAATGGAGAACTGTTTAACTAAACTGTTTAATCAGGCGTTGGTCCATGCGTTGTTTCATTTGTTGAACCACATATGTTGCACGACATAGCTTACTTACACCTCACACCAAGTATATTGCACCACCAGGGTTGCGCCGCATAGCTTGCACATAGCTTGAACCACATAGATTACACCACATAGCTTGCACTAGATAGATTGCACCACATAGTTTGCACCACATCGATTGCACGGCATGGGTTGCACTAGATACGTTGCACCGCATAGATTGCACCACCTAGCTTCCACCAATCAGCTTGCATCTTATAGATTGCACCACATAGATTGCACCGCATCGATTGTACCACCGACGCCGTCAGCGCCGTCGTCGTCGTGAGCGTGGTCGTCGTCGTCGCCGTGTTCGTCGTCGCCATCGTCGTCGTGGTCGTCGTCGTAGTCATCCTCGTCGTGGTCCTCGTCGTCGTCGTCGTCGCCCGTCTCTGACCCCCTTGTGGTCGTACTCGGCGTCGTCGTCGCCGTCGCCCTGTCCTCCCGCGCGATCCCTCCATGGAGCCTCCTAGGCCCAATTGCCCATGTCCTCCCAAGATGCCCCTGCGATGCCGCACAAATCTTGGCAACCTGATCTCCGTGACTGGTTGTCTCGAGCGCGCCTAGACGAGCACCTGAATGATGAGAACGGGCCTAATTTTCTCACGCGCTGAAGGACTGAGCAGCTGAAGTCGGCCTGAGTCCAACTCGACCCGCTGAAGGGCTGAGATGCTGAAGCATCTGTCTCGTGATATGCCGACCTCAGTCCTGAACGGGCGGGTATGGGCCTGGTCTGTCACGAAGTTCCTTCTCGTGGCTCTGCATGAACGCCTTGCGCTCGTCGTCCTCGGTCACAGCTGCGTCCAGTGAGTCGGCGGCGTTGGTTGCACGGCACCTCAAAGATCTCAACCTGCTCTTCAGGATCTGATTCATGAGCCTCTGGATAGCCAGTTCTTTGCCGAGCTTCTGGATCCTGCGGCGAACTGCGGGGGACGTGTTGGGCGGAAGCGGTGGGAGATCAGGCGCGTGCGGCTTGAGGGGGTGCCTGAGCGCCTTAGGCGCCATGCTGTACTGTGGAGGCAAACGACGGCGAAGAGGCAGAGTGGGGACTGCGCGGCAAAGCTTGGACCACCGTAGCTAGCACTGGAAAAATACAATGCGTGGGGAAGTCGATGCTTGTCTAATCCTTGATAATGATAATGTACCAGCGCCAACTCCAAATATAATCATTGAAACTGGATGTTTGGGTACTGTGGTATGGCAAGCCCGAATAATGTTTAATCACGTAAAGACATGCGGCCACAGCAAAGCGCTGCGCTCGTGGGTAAGGGCGCGCGTGCATATGCCCCCGGACGGGGAACATACACGCATAGACGCGCGCATCATCTATTAAACCACACGAACCTACATGCACACGCGCATATGTATGTGCGTATATACCTGACGCCCGAGCACACATCACCGTGCACTTGCACAGGCAAGGTGGCACTGGGGCCTTGGATGGAGCTCTATATGAGGCCACGGAACGTGTGATGGGGTGTGCCGAAAGGGGGTGTTGCCCACATGCGGGCGGCGCCACTGTGGCCTTCGGTGGGGCCCCCTATGGGCCACGAAATGTTTGAGGGGTGTGCCGAAAGGGGGGGGGAGCACATGGACGGCGCCACTGGGGCCTTCGGTGGAGCTCCCCATGGGGCCACGAAACGTGCGAGGGGTGTGCCGAAAGGGGGGGGGCACCCACATGCGGGCGGCGCCACTGGGGCCTTCAGTGGAGCTCCCTATGAGGCCACGAAACGTGTGAGGGGTGCGCCGAAAGGGGAGGCGCCCACATGGACATCCGAGGGGGTGGAAGAGGAGGTTTTTTTATCAGACCACGCACACAGGGAACATGTGAGAGAACGAAACAACTAACTTGCCAGTCGCGCCTGACGCAACGACACAGGCTCTCACCATCTGTCGCGCCGTCACGCTTGACGCCACGACCCAGGGCCCCGCCATCTGTCGCGCCGTCGCGCCTGACGCCACGACAGAGACCGACAGCAACATGGAAAAACTCCGATTGGTGCGACCGCCCATCGCGTCCACACTGTTAGCCTAGGGGCCGCCCCGCGCCCGTCACTCGCCCCGCGCCGCGCTCATCCAAGGCATCTGCTACATTTCGTTGATGCCATCGCGCGCGCAAGTCCCCCCGCGTCGCCCCCCCCCCCCCCCGCCATCGCATCGCGCCGCGTCTTTCGCCCCTGCGTCGCGACGGCCAGCAGGACACAAGCGACGCCGATCTGGCGCCCCCCCCTGCAGGGCCCCAATGCGCGACCCCTCCCCCGTCCACAGCGAGACGGCCAGACATCGACGGTCAGATCCACCCGAGTTGACCGACACCCGTCGGTCACATCGCCGTGAGTCGACCGCAGTCGATCGGTCAACGCGCCGCGAGCCGACCGCACTTTGTCGGTCAACTCGCGCCCCCCTGGTCCGCGTTTTTAAATCAACTAGGTCGGTCAACTAGGGCGGTCAACTAGGGCGGTCAACTAGGTTGGTCAACTCGACTCGTCAGGTCAACTAGGTCGGTCAACTCGTTTTGGGTAGGTCAACTCGGTCGGTCAACTAGGTTGGTCAACTCGACTCGGCAGGTCAACTAGGTCGGTCGACTAGGTCGGTCAACTAGGTTGGTCAACTCGACTCGTCAGGTCAACTCGACTCGTCAGGTCAACTAGGGCGGTCAAGTTCAAGTTGCGACTCCTTGGTGCGCGGCTTTTGAAATCAACTCGATCTTGCGACCTCTCGGTGGGCGACTTTTGAAATCAACTTGCATTTGCGACGGCGCAGGGCTCAGAAACCACCTCAGGTCGCTGGCGTCGGCATCGCCAATCGACTTGCGGGAGGCGGATTTCACCAGGCCGAGAGCGGCAGGCATACAGAAATGCAGGCCCAGGCTCGATTGACCTAGCGCGCGACGCGGCCTGGGCTGCCAGTGCGGCCACGGCAACGGGTCAGAGTGCGCGCACTTGCGCAGGTTGGCACAGTGAGCAGGGCCTCGCGGCATTGCGAGCAGAACCCCACAGGCCGCGTAGGCATTGCGAGCATGGTCTCACGGCGTTGGCTGCGGTGTCCGCGAAGTCGCCTGACGGTGGTGAGAGGGGGGCTGGCGGTGGTGAGAGGGGGGAGCAGCAATGACGGCCGCGCGCTGGGAAGGGGCGCTGATGCAGTTTCCGAGAGGATTCTGGTTGCATCCTGAAAGGCTTCTGCTCGGCCCCCCAAACACTTCTCAGAAGTTTGTTTACCCGATGATTGCCGAAGGCTTCTCGGAATATGTTGAGCTATGCAAGAGTGGTACCAACGCCTTGCAAGGGCCTCTCACAATGTTCTGAAGGGCCTCTGGCAGGTTTCCCCCGAGGCTTCTCCGAGGCGTCTCAGGAGCTCTGACAACCCAACCTGGGCTACCAAAGGGACGTCCGAGGGGGTGGATGGGGGAGGTGCTTTTACCATCGGGCCACACACACACCGCTTGCGTTTTTATGATGCGATCATGCCTTATCATATCATCGCACACCATCAGGACAAGCCATCACTCCATCACACACGCACCATCAGGACACCATTACCATCATACCATCGCACACCACACCATACACTCACACTTTGTCATACCATCGCATACCATTAACATCAGACCACACACACCATCAGGACAGGTCATATTTTATCATACTTGCGCATAATTTGGGCTGTTATGGTGATGCTGTTTAAAGTAGCGCTTAAGCTTACCACTATGTGCATTGATTATATGTTTGCCTGAGTGTGTGTGTGTGTGTGTGTGTGCGTGTGTGCGTGTGCGGGCTCGTTGGGAAAGAACCCCTACAGGCTGCCTGTTGGTGCGTGCAGCGGTTGCGTTGATAGCTGCATTCGTTCGCATCTGCTCGTAAGTGAGCTGAAAACCGACGACGATGAGCGACGAAGATGGGATTGAGAATGGGCCGCCACGATCTGGGAGTTGGATGAGTGCGAACGCTGGCCGACGTGGCCCCATGATAATCGAAGCAGCCCCAAGAAGCTGACGTCCCGAAACGACCCGTTTGGCTCTATCCCGGGAGAGTGGCGGAAGGGCCATTGCGATGGGGATGGGGTCGAAAGGGCAACGGCCAGGGGAAGTGGGGATTGGGAGAGGGGGAGGGTGTATGTGCGGGGCAATGGCGAGGAGGAGGGGGTGGGTGATATGAGTCACGGGGGCAACTTGGAATGAGGGGCCCAATAAAGGATTCCAATGTGCTGGCCCTCGGAGTGCGGATGCTTGCGAAAACGTGTAGAAAGCAGAGGGACACTGTCATAGACTTCATCCTCTGGTGGCACTTCCGCAAGGCCCTGTAGATTCCTCCCTCTTCCATTTCTCCTTTTCCTCGCCTTCCCCTGTCCCTAAATTGCCCGACCCTGTCTCACCTCCACCTCCTCCTCCTCCTCCGTCTCCTTCCCCCTCCATCCTCCCCCACCGCTCCCCCTTACCATTGTAAGGTGTTCTGGGAGCCCTGCGGAATCGTTGTGATAGAGCGGTGCGGTAGGCTGACGGTCGAGTGGCTCGGCCGCGCGAACGCCCCAACACCGCCGCTCCCCCAGCCGATCCCAGCTCCCATGTTGACAGATGAGGAGCTTGAGCAGATGATCGGCTAAACGCGCTTGCTTGGACGGAGCCCCCTCGGGACGGCAGCGCCAGAACCAGGAGCTTTGGGGGGGGGCCAAGCTGCCTCACAAAACCGGAGCCTTTAACGCCGCGCGTGGATGAGGAGAGCGAAGTCGAGGATGGATGTACGCGGAGGGTCAAGGCGAGGAGAGGGCAGGAGGAGGACAAGGAGGGAGGAGAGGGAAGGCGATAATGAAACAGGCGAAGGGTACTGGAGGAGCAGGAACGCGAGGAGTGGG